AGTGGTTAAGGCGATTTACTCGAAATCCATTGGGGTCTCCCGCGTAGGTTCGAATCCTGCCGGCTGCGAAATGTATTAATTTATTATGTTTTAGAACACACGTAAGGTTTGTTTTGCATAAACAGTTTCCCTGAATTTCAAAATCTGTTATTCAGGTTTAAAAAACCGATTATATTGTGCGTTAATTGAAAATCGGAGTTAGAATTTCTGTAAAAAATATTTCGTTTGCATCGCTGCAGCTGAGACCGAGTGGTTAAGGCGATGGACTTGAAATCGATTAAGATCTGCCTCCGTAGGTTCGAATCCTGACGGCTGCTAATTGTTTAATTTTATATTTAATAAAGAAACCGAGGAAGATTTTTTGCGTTGAATATTCCCTTAATTTGAAAAACCATTATTAAGTTTTAAAATTTTGGATATATTTTACTTAAATAATAAAACAGTATTTAGGAATTAAAAATACAAAGATCTTAACTTGCTCAGAAGCAGCTGTAGCCGAGTGTAAGGCGATGGACTAGAAAAATCCATTGGGGTCTCCCCACGCGTAGGTTCGAATCCACCACCGGCTGCGAATGTCCTAATTAAGATTTTTTAAGAACTTGCGTAAGGTTCGTTTTGCATAGAAGGTTTTCTGAATTTAAAAATCTGTTTTTCAGTTTATAAAAAACAATTATATTGTACGTTAATTGAAAAACGGAGTTTAAAGTTCTACAAAGAATATTTTCTTTTCATTGCAGTAGCTGTGGCCGAGTGGTTAAGGCAGTGCTTCTCAAACTTTCAATACTGGCGCCCCCTTTTCAATCACAATTTTTTATCGCGCCCCCATATACATAATAATTTACTGAATGCAATAATAATGCACTTTACGATAAAGCAACAATATTTATTATAAACCGTACAAATTCATGACATAAAGTATTAAATTTTGTATATGTTTACTTTTAAACAAAAAAATTTAAGTAATAGGATAATTACTAAGTTATTTTCCTTTCTCTGATTTTAAATTGGAACATATTACAAAATGCGGTGTGGTTGCTTAGACAAAATATAGATATCAGCTAAATATAGAAAATGAACTCAGAGGGTCAATTTCTTATCTTAAACTCCTTTCAAAAACTTTGCTCTGTAAGACAAGCCCATGGGTGGCTAATAATTATTAAACTTGTTCTTAATTTATATTAATTAATTAGTCATAAATACTCTGTGCACACTCATACATTAAAAGCAGTGTTTCTCAAACTTTCAATACTGGCTACCCAATTTTCAATCATAATTTTTGTCTCGCCCCCCTGTTAACAATAATGTATTTACTGCAATAAAAATACACTTTGAGAGAGACGCTAAAGTTACAATACGATCTTAATTATAAACCGTACAAATTAATACGATAAGTATATTAAATTTTGTGTATATGTAACTTTTAAGTAATATATATTTTAAGAAAATTGCTTAAAATATATATTATAGAATATGTTATTTTTTTCTCTAATTTTTAAATTGGAACAGATCATAAAATGATGTATGTAATTAAAGATTTATTTCCTTCAGCATTCATTTCTCAAAGTACAAATGTCATTAGAAAAATAGTCTAGTCAATGTCGCTCTATCATATCCATCACATCTGGCATTATAGGGTACGTTTGCGTGAGTCTGGGCAACCTATCGGACGTCTGCGCAAAACATGTAAAAAATACTTTTCCTCGTACAATTCAGTCAGTTTTGGTCGACTCGATACTCCTATAGCTACCGAATCTAGCTTGAATGTACACATTTTTTTAATTTCCACGTTAATTGTAATTCAAGGTAATTAAGTACTTACGGCAGTATATTAAAACAATATCATACACAATACATTTTTAAGTCGTAAGCAAACATTCGACCATAATAAAGAATCAACAAGTACACAGACGAACGAGCATGGTTCGAAAATTAAATCAAGCGATCTTCTCAAAAATACTTAAATTTTGGATTTACCACTACTGAAGTAAATGATTGGGAAAATCCCCAGCTCGATATGTGTTAAAACTTACAAATCTGTAGAACAACATGTGAAAGTTGTTTTAAAACATGTAAAATCATTTAGCTATGTTGGCAAAAAATTTTTTAAAAGTATTTTCTGGATGAGGACAGCTTGGTAGCAAGTTACGAGTGGATTAGGGATCTATTTAAGATACTCCAGAAGGGCTCTCAACTTCCGAAGAAGAATTCTTCATAGATTTCACATCAGTGAAAAATTAAAAAGGCAATTTTGTAATAAATCGCTCTTTGAATTTGAGGTACAGGTGGATGAGGAATTATCTGTACTGAAAACAAAAGCACTTCGTGTACTATTACCATTTTCAACATCCTACCTTTTTCAAACCGAATTTTCTGCAGTGGATGCCTTGAAGACAAAATATAGATCTCAGCTAAATATAGAAAAAATAACTCTTTAAGTGTCAATTTCTGATATTATAAACCTTCCTTTGAAAAACTTTCCTCTACAAGACAAGCCCTTGGAAGTCCTAATAATTATTAAACTTGTTCTTAATTTAGTAATAAGATTGATTGATTGAATATTAACGTCGCACTGTTCAGCTGCACGAGGGCTTTTGACGACGGACTACGTAATTTTGAACCATGGTCAAGTGACGTGGATGACACCTGAGCTGGCACCCTCTCTCCTAACTACCACACCACCAACGGGAAAACGTTTCAACTCTCAACAGATTTAACGTGCATCGCTGCCCTACACGGCGGGTCTTTAGTGGTACTGGGCTCGAACTCGTGACAAGGCAAGCCACGATCCGATACCTATAACACTCTCGGCTACCGCGGCCAAATTCAGTAATAAGGAAATTATTTATAAAATACCTTCTTCAGTACTGATACATCAAACGTATACTGGCTGAAACACCGACTCTTCCCACGAGTTCATTTTTAAAATAAAACATTATTCTTGATATAATAGCTGAACTGTAAGGAGTAAAACTGTGTGCGACATTGTATACAAAAATGTAAAATGATTTTTTTTTTTAGATAAATGCTATAATTTTAAATAACTGTTTAAAGAACTGTAATTTTAAACCTCACACAATTAGCATTTAGAATTAATGTTAAATTATGAAAAAGAATATAAAATTCCGACGAAGAATAATTGTTACTTTTTAACATTTAAAGCGAGAAGACTTCAAATGTTTTAACCCGGGGAACAGGCACGTACTATATACTAACATTAATGGTAGTGCGGGACTCAGTCACCCCAATCATTTGTTAAATTATTTTTACTGTACACGATACAAATCGGAATTCTAGTGAATATTTTTTAATTTATAGAAAATATACTTAACTTCTTTCAAGGACTATTCAATTCTTTGATGATTTGAGAAAAAATCAATAAAACTGAACTAAAATGATTCAAGTACAAGACCATAATAAAGGACGCAAATCAGACACTTTTCAGGTATCCTACAGAAATGTTTAAACCAATCAATTCTTTTCCAAATATCGCAAAAACTCAATTATTTACAATTTCCCTAAGCGAAAAGCAAACGCATAAAAGATGGGAGGGAACTAATATTGATATAACCATACCATAAGATTGAAGGTCAATCAAATGATTAGCAAACGTACTATGCAGCCTGGCTGAAAAGTGAATCATGACTTCCTTTTTTTTTTCTACACAACTAATGTACAGTATTTCAATAATAATTACAGTGGTGAATTGTTTATCTTCTTAGAATTTTTCTCAGGGTCTGGGTTTCGTTTTTCTTTTAACGAGTAATATTTTATGTTGAAACGTAATAAAAAACTCTCATTGAGGAAATACAGCACATTAAACAAAATGTTTTTCTTTAATTTGGTTTGGGATCAAAGATAGCTATTTGATGAAGGAAAAAGCCAGATAATAAACATAAAAATCATGTCAGTGTTCTTGTGTATTTTTTTTTTTTATTACATGTAAGAAAGCATTTTGTTTACTTCTCTTTCGTTATTTTAAAAAGAAATCTTTAAATTTTCGATGCGCTCGCGCCCCCTTAGCGGGGTCATCGCGCCCCAGGGGGCGCAGGCCACTTTGAGAAACGCTAGAGTTTAAGGCGATGGACTTGGGAAATCCATTGGATGTCTCCCCGCGTAGGGTTCGAGGAATCTGCCGGCTGCGAATTGTGTTAATTTATTATGTTTAAGAACTCAAATAAGGTTTTGCATAACAATTTCCC